AATTATCAAAATGTCCAAAAATTAAGTATTTGTCAGTTGTATATATCAAAATAATTACGTAAACTTGAGTGGCCATGATACAGATCGGAGACAAATCAACCAATCAGTAGCGGTATATTCGCGTAATATGGAAATGACCGCCGTCAAGGGGCGTCAATTCTGTAACATCAGCTTCATACAGCTGACACTACTTTAAACTAGCTAGCACTACAAATCGGCATCAGTCCGGACTAGTACAAGCAGCCACACACACACACACACACACACACACACATACACACACACACACACACACACACACACACACAGACGTGCTTGCACGTCGCTATATAAGTGCAATAATCTTGGACGCGACGTTAAACCCAATTTCACCTCACCTCACTGAAGCATTGTCAAATAATTGTCGAACTACCAGTGAAATATATTCGTAGCTGATCATAATCAACTGATATAACCTTACCAACAAACTCCTTAACTAGTATTGGTTATATCAATGGCAAATTTCACGCTACAACAAGGAGTGTCTGGCAATGACCAAACACAGATGAACTATATGAGCTCAACACAGCGTTTGTAATATACTTGTAAAAGTGACCTGTTTCATGGCGGACATGATCAGAAAAGAATAGCATTACAGACTGTTTGGAGCATGTTTGACATGACAGCGATCCTTACGTAACGTGATGGCTACGTACAACTTCATTCGTGTGTTGAAGAAAAAATGCTCGAAAGAGATTCGAGACGTAAATAGTTTGAATGTGGGCTTGGCTTACGTGGTTTTTGTTTAATTCAATGATTTATGAACAAAAAGGTTGTTTTATCATAAGTCAATCAATCTGGTGGAATATTCATATATTTTATTTTCTGTGATAATGATATTCATATTTATAAAATTCAATTGAACCTAGACAATTTAATTTGTTTAATCTGATTTACAGACCGCTGTCATAAGGCTGGAATATTGCTGAGTGCGGCGTTAAACAACAAACAAACAAAGATACTGAATTGCTACAGACTTTAGATAAATTCATATATACAGAATCTTGATAATAAGGGATATATCATTGTGATATTGGCATGTTAACATACATTTGAAAGAACTAGCATTGACGATACACAGAAACAGATGACGGAAACAGGGAAAGTTTGTTGATCGTCAAAAAGATTTCATAACGACTAGTTATTTATAGTCCCACCTTTACTATAAATAGCCCTATAAACACAACCGAGTGTCGAGAGAAGCTTTTTTAAAATCCGTAGGCAAACAAGATGACCATTGACCTTCAAACTTGAATGATAAAACCTTGGATACCACAAATGGCTCCATATCTGGATATAAGTCAATACATGTTCTGTAGCTTTATCATAAAAAGTCGAATCGATCGTGTTTGGCGTCTGGATCAATCACAGTGGGCGGAGCGTACATAGGGTTGCGCTATAAATAGCAAAGCACATGTGACACATTCGATGCATTTGTGGTAAAAGTGTATTGTGGTGTATATATTTACCCAGAACAGCAGCACAACAACAGTTTCGGTTAATGTAACAGTAACGATACATAAATACCAATTTGACGTTAGTTGCATATGTATATGCTACATCATATCATCCAATCACGATAAAGGACAGCAAATATTCCTTTTATTCAGACGGTTTGTGGTCATATTCAAATACAGTCATACCTCGCTTATCAGGACACTTGCGTTTTCTCGAATTTTGTCCGGATAAACGTGTTTCCGGATATCTGAATTACTTCTTATCTGACCAGAATTACCTCAATTACCCAAATTCTACCGAGGTATATGTGAAGTGAATGGCAGAAGTATATTTTGCGAAGGATCGACCGATACAAAAAATAATGCATTGTGCTGTACAGACCTACACGACAGGGCTGTGACAGCCCCGTTTATTATTGAAGCAGCTCATGTTGGAGTGAGTGAGTGAGTGAGTGTGTGAGTTGGGTTGAACTCCGCTTTTAACAGTATTCCAGTTATATCACGGAGTGTCAGCTTAATGTGGGAGGAAAGCCCGAAATGATACAGGTCTCAGACGTTTACCACTTCGGTGAAGCCCACGAGCACGGGTATGGTGCTGACAAACCTAGAAACATAATTAGGGCGAACCGTCATTCGAACCCACAAAAATAGCTAAGGTTTCACTTTTATCCGCTATTATGAATCTTTAGAATGGTATTAGCTTGTGTGAAGTCGAAAACATGCTACATTTCAAAAAGTGAAAATTTTCAAGAACGTATATCTGGCCTCCTTTTTCAACACAAATAATGCTGGTGTCATCGCAGGGCGTGGGACACAAATCAGCTCGCAATAACGTTGCAACAGGTAGCGTCTATGCATCTTTGAAATGCCTTATTGCATCTTTCACTGAGGAGCGGTCGGGTAGCCTAGTGGTTAAAGCGTTCGCTCGTCACGTCGAAAACCGAATTCCGGTTCGCATCCCGACATGGGTACAATGTGTGAAGGCCATTTCTGGTGTCCCCCGCCGTGAAATTGCTGGAATATTGCTAAAAGCGGCATAAAACCATACTCACTCACTTTCACTGACCATACGTGTGGGGTGATTTTTAAAGAAATTGAGGCCTGGACGATTTATGAAGCTTATCGTACGAGCACCATATGTTATCTAGGAAAATATATTTGAGTTGTTCATAAAAGTAAAAACTTAAATGTTCGTTTTCACTTGCATTTAACACACAACGTTTCTGACTTCATCTTTCTTCGTCAAATGGTTAATTGTGATAATGTTTACAAGCTTGATATTAAATATCCCTCACTAATATACTGAGCATCCCTTGTCCAACTAATCGAGCTGGGACTGTTTACAGACTCTGCAGGGATACCTAGCGCCTGCAGGGATCCAATTAGTTTTATGTCCACATGTTTGGAAGTTATTTCATGAGGTTTGCTTGAACATTGATTCCTGTATATGGCCATGAAAGGAAATAAAATGACACACAACTCATGTCCGCATGTGTTTCTCAAGGTACAGGTGATAATTCTATATCATATATGTCAACCGCCGTAAAATATTTGAAATTGTACAATTTCCTATTAATTTCTGTCCCTGGATATTTAAGGGAAATGATTGATTTCTAATGTTTTAAAACGGTTTGAAATAGTTAACTGTTTAAATTGGAATGCACACTCATGGAATTGTCAATAAGTTGTTTTTGTGTCTTTTAACTCTTGTTCAGATGAATAGAATCGACATGGTTAAGGTGTTATTAGCTAACAAAGTCTATATTGTGGTCTTGTTTGAAATAAGAAGACGATTCGTTTTCAAGTGAAGAACGAAGACACAATATACTGCTTCAACATTACTTTTTTAATGAAGAGGGTTTACAGTCAACTTTGAAGAAAAGGATATAAGAGAACCTTCACTATATACATCGTACACCGTTATATGCAGTTTTTAAACAATATATACAGTTAACTACGGTTATACCGAACTCAAAAGGGTACACTAAGTTTAGTTCGTTATAAACGTAGACTACTGTATTTTCTATTCTTTGAAGGTAACAAGTTCCACGACGCCGCAAAATGCCCACGGGATAAAGCTATGGGGTCAAACGAGAAGGAGCCATACAATATACATGTACACCAGTCAGTGCTAGTGGTCAATTTAAAGGTTATTATGACAAGGTCACGCATTGTCACCACTCAGTCTCTATATCAGGTGAATCTTAGGACAATCTTGATGTACCAAATAGCCTTTTTGCTCGTTTACCTTGCTCACTTGACATACAATGCCATCGTATCGTGACCACCACTGACCCTATTCAGCCCCTTGTAGTACACATTATCAATCTTGGAATGTTCGTCACAGTTATCATGTTGGAATGTCGTCTTATTCCCATTGTCAGCATTTGTAGTGAAAGGTATGTTTTGACTGAAATATGTGTAACGCTGTAAACATATTCTCCATCGTTGGATGCTTATCTTCATATTATAAGAGCGTTCTGTATATTCATGCAGATTTCTTTCTGTTCACAGAACTGTGCGTGCATTGTTTGTCCACGCTTCTGCCATCTGTAATTCATGAAACACGTTCTTTGAAAGGCATTTAGAAGTGATACACATAAGGAAGAGAATTTATGGATGTCAACTTCTTTTTTTTGAGGAACACAACGTTCAGAGTATATGCTTATTCCTTCATCAGGTGAATTAACCTGATAATAAAGAAGTTGACATCCATAAATTCTCTTTCTTATGAAACAAGTTACTCACATTAAAATACAAGCAAGGCGGATCTATGTTCAAATTGATCACACCAACCTTCAGCTGTAAATAACTATCCCCAATACTAAATGGGTTTGTATACACTACGATCCCTTATCATCCATGAACACATGCAGCCACTATACGGTTATAACAGTGACGCGTGTCCAGTAGGCTAATGAAACGAGGTCATGTAAATCTCATTGAAGATCGGGTGTACAATTCCTTTTGATAAAACCGTTTACAGAAAATTTCTCAAGCCCTTGGTGAGCACTATTCATATTGTATATCTTTGGTTTATCTCCAGTTTACATGTGGGCACGGGTGGCCCAGTCGTCTAAGGCGCCGCAATTCGCGAGTTGTTGCGTCCTTTGGGCATGCCAGAAACCTATGATTGTGGGTTCGAATCCCGGTTCGCCCTAATTATGTTTCTAGGTTTGTCAGCACCATACCCGTGCTCATGGATTTCACCCAAGTGGTAAACGTCTGAGACCTGCATCACTTCGGGCTTTCCTCCTACATTAAGCTGACACTCCGTGATATAACTGGAATACTGTTAAAAGCGGAGTTAAACCCAACTCACTCACTCACTTACTAACAGAGTATGCGTGAAGACGTTAAACCAGCGTAATGACAAAGCCTGAAAAGGATAACCAGAGCCGCTCACTTCATTGTCCTACTTTTTGGAAGAAAGCTTATTTCTTCTGTCAATATTTATCTAGAACCAGCGGCATGTGTCAACCTTATCATTGACAGATCACCTGATATACATTTAGTGTGTGGAGAGAAGTCAGGCCCTAACATGGCACATGTGACGATTGTTGTGTTCGTTTTAGCCAGTGCCACTGCTGTTTATGGCGTGAGTGTTTCATGTCTTCCTTTCATGCTTACCACCTTGCTTTCTTTGTACACTGGAGGTATAATAACTGCAAGATATGTTCAATGTATCCGTCTGCAAGCATTCTTTACTGTAGCAAATATTAATGAATTAACTACGTGTCACTCTACAAATGAGCATTAAACATACACTTCAGAGTAGGTTATATATCCACATTTAGTTATTTACACTCATACACAAGCCTTGCCTCCTCATCTAGAAATCGCCATGAAGGTGACGGGTGCTACCGATAGGGCAGGATACACCTGTCTTATCGCGAGCACCTGGTATCATCACTATTTGATAGTGATTCATAAACACATGCTCATGATATAGTCGGAATCGTTCAATCGACTCTGTTTTTGGTAGAGATTTTTTATGTACATGGAAAGGTTTTTTTCGCTTGTATTTATATTCATTTGTACTTCTCAGTAACATCATAATTCTTAATTTATCTACAAAAACGTTCAACACAATTTGCAACCAGGTTTGCTTCTGAACGCATTTTTACAAAAGGTCAAGATATGACAATGGTCCTGTTTTGTCTCCAAATTCTGCATAAATGAAGATGTGGAATTTTCTTCTAGAGTGAGTAAGTGAGTATAGTTTTACGCCGCTTTTAGCAATATTCTAGCAATATCACGGCGGGGGGACACCACAAATGGACTTCACACATTGAACCCACGTGGGGAATCGAACACGGGTCTTCGTCGTGACGAGCGAACGCTTTAACCACTAGACTATCCCACAGCCCCTTTCTTCTAGAAATTGTCATGAAGGTTACCTGGTTGTGAATGACAAATAGACTGTCCTATCAACACTTGCATGTTATATATATATGTTGAGGCAAGGATTGTTTGTGTAAAACACTATATGTGTCAAAATTGTAGAGGTTTTTAGGAAGCGTTATTCTAATATTTGAAAGTGAGCAAACCTTTGCCCTAAGTTGAATTCCATAGGAAACGCTAGTTCAAACGTGCGGTCAATACATTCTCTTCCGTCATAATGTTGCAACTCTGGTTTAATATATGTTGCAGTGGACGCCGCTAGGCATTGGGGTAGCATATGAGGATTACGGATTTGGAAGTGAGTATTCCACATTCATGATCTAAAGACGGAATACATGAGAAAGTTGCTTAGGATGGCAATGAACATTTAGTGATGTTTGGCGTTACTCTGTCGGTTAGTTTTGTTGTTTTACGCCGCAGTCAGAAATACTTGAGCTATATCAGGTTGGTATGTAAATATTGTCTGAGCAAGAAGAAGACCTAGAGTTTTTCATTATACCCAACGACACACAATCTGCTGCATTTACTTATACCATCCGATCCAATGTGGATGCCTCTTACTATAAGGAATGAGGCATTGGAGATAGTTCCTATCCTGGGTCCTAAGGGACTGGATATATCTGTGAATGGTAACCAGTACACACATGTACCCCTTCCATCAAAGAATCAATGTGTCTGTCAAACGAAGGTCATGCGGACAGAGAAGTTGTGATTTCATATACAGTGAGACCTGGTTAGTCTGGACCTCTTTCCGTCGATGTTACTGGGCACGTCTATGTAGACCTACCGCTTCATTTCCCTGCACAATGATTCGTTAATCAGGAAATATATTAAATTTGACGATTTTTCTAGAAACGGCACCGTGCGGACTTACGAGCTTCACTGCAGAGAACTGTTACACTTGAAGCAAATGATGAAGTCTCACATGATAACGTCACATAACGACACCTGTTATCAGAATTTAGAAACCTGTGTTAATATTGTGGATATGTTTTGTTGCTATTTCAGAAAACGTTCTGATATGTTACGGCGGATACGGGGTAACGGATACGTGGGCACGTGCCTGGGCAGACCGGCTGGTGACCCATTCCGATCTCAGGAGTCTGGCAGTGGGGAAGGTCTATGCAGTTAAAGGCCCTCGGGATGTCTTGTATAATGCAAAGGAGATTTCCAACTCCAAATTGGTACAGTGAGTAGCTACGCACACGGTCAGACCTAAATTACGGGAAAGCTTTGTTGAAGTGTTTGAAACATAGTACCCTTACACAAAAACAAAATACAAAGGAAGACTAATTTGTGCGGTTAAATCTAAAGATATTCCATTAAGGAAATAGACTGGCTATGAGGCGATATGCCTATTGTAAGTTAACAACATTTATTCTCAAACACGTGATGTGGCAAGTAAACAGATAACTGACAGTCTCAGACCTTCTAACCCTGCAGTTATTATCGACTGCACGGATTTTGCAGATGTTCGGTTGTCGGATTGTGTTGTTTCTTAAGTTTCTTTTGCAGTACATCATCATACACTGAAATGGAAAGGTAATCAGGTTAACGTACAGATTATCAAGACAATTGTTCAAGGATCCGGTTTCGAGACAAAAAGAGTGTATCTCATCCTTTACAGGCACCTTCTTGCTCACCAGAGTCCAGGGTTTGTAGCTGTGGCGGCACATTCCAGCGGAGCCTTTGTTGCCAATGAATTCTTCAGTCAGCTAGTTGCCAATGACATCAACAGAAAGTTCAATCAGAAAATAATCTACTACAATTTGGACGGTGATGGTAATATCATTGCAATCACTTTGATTTCCCATGCAAGTAAAAGTGCATTCCTGACCACTCGTCTCATTTATAAATACAAACCGGGATTTCTTGACCAAAGTACTTATAGGGATACACTCATTAATTGTCATTAAAAGTGAATTTAATCACTAAAAAATGCAAAATGTGCACAAAGTTACCCGTATGAAATTCTGGTATAAAACATGAGCAGGATTGTACTCTCTCATCACATGAAACCACTGAAAACAATGTTTGTTTAGTTTGTTTGCTGTTTTACGCCGCACTCAGCAATATTCCAGCGGTATGACGGCGGTTTGTAAATAATCGAGTCTGGAGCAGACAATCTAGTGATTGATATCGTGAGCATCGATCCACTCAATTGGGATACGATGACATGCATCAACCAAGTCAGGGAGATGGGTTGCTGAGGACCTATACTGCCCCGGATCTTATAGCAGTATAGCAGTGAGTGAGTGAGTTCTTACGCCGCTTTTAGCAATATTCCACCAATATCAATACCAATACCAGAAATGGGCTTCACACGTTGTACCCATGTCGGGAATCGATGAAGCCAACGGATAAACACGGTAATGGGGTTACGTTGGATAAATATGCAAAAATGAAAGGTCAGGTTGTTACTTCTTTCAGTGTTCACAAACAAACATGGCGTCGCCCTTGTCAATCAGCGATCGAGTCAGAATTAACCATCGCTAAACAATAAACAATATTCTACGATACTGACAATCAGTGCTTAAATGGGATGTATCTGAGGCAGTTTACAAGTTTTGGCAACTATGGAAATATAATTATATTATAAATTGGGAAACACTTCAGCGACAACACTCGCCTAGCGGGATCAGTTTCCACATCTGCGACTTTGGGTCTTGTTGCTACTTTCAGCTGGATTTGGCCGAAATAAGTACGAAATGTTACTTTGTGTCATTTTGTCACTGGGTATACTCTGCATTTCGTAACGTTATAACAGGCCAGGCAGACTCTTAACAAACGTGACTTCTAATAGTCTTGAGTAACTTCCCTTTGTTAAAGGGCAATTGCTCTTGCTGGTGGATCGATGAATTGCCGCGAAAGGCAAGTAGAAACAACATATGCAGGCAATTGTTATTTAACTCATGAAGCTACGCAACTGTCTAAAACTGTCTGTTGGAACTATATTGACAGTTGTCACTGCCCGACTGACAATCGCTGATCGTCTCACTTAATATATGTTAATGCGCACATTCCAGGAAAACTTGCAATGTTTAGGAACTATTTTGTGAGAGATGAGAACAGTTTTTAATGACAGAATTTAAAATTAACAATATATTAAAAAGAGATTACCACGATGCATTTAGCTCGCCAAGGCTCACTAAATGCAATGTTTATTTATAAAATGTCCACAGACAAAAAGTTTACTCTTGAGGTATTTATTTCATCACTTTTCATTAAACTTATGAGTCATCAAATAAAACAGTGTTCTAGTACCTATTGTACATACAATCAGAAAAAAGTATTTTATAATGGATGTTCATACGATTTTACATGTCAGCCTTCTCTATATTTGTATCAAATATATATGTATTATTAATGTACTCCTATATGTACACGATATGGCTGAAATACTGCCGATGTGACGTTAAATTTTAACTCACTCACTCACTATATTTGTATCGCTTTGTATGAATACATGATATTCGGTGTGGTGAGTGAGTGAGTGAGTATGGTTTTACGCCGCTTTTAGCAATATTCCAGCAATATCACGGCGGGGAACACCAGAAATGGGCTTCACACATTGTACCCATGTCGGGAATCGAACCCGGGTCTTCGGCGTGACGAGCGAACGCTTTAACCACTAGGCTACCCGACCGCCCCTATTCGGTGTGGTACTCATATAGTGACACATTAGAGTTTCACGACGTACTGGCATTTTGTTGAACATTACACCTTTATCAATGACTATATACGAGAAAATCAAGAACATATGATTTAACAAAGAATGTTTCGCGCGTTATTATCATCTCAATTATCTGCACTAGTGGTTGAGGTTTGGAGAATATAAAATTCAATTATTTTAACGCGTCTTATACATTTACATTTGAGATGTTCCTATTTTGCAGGAGGACCTTATGGTAATGCCCTATCCATGTTGAGGAAGGAATATTTTGTGTATGCTAGGATGGGATCTATGTTCTCAATGAATGCCAGTAAGTACTGAGACTTATGTTTGACTTTAATCATGATGAAGTTACTACCACTTCTGCTGTACGGTCCCTGGGGTTGACGGGGTAACACCAACTTCTACTTTGTCGGTTAGTGAGGATATTATTTAATAAAGTGTATTGCACCAAGGACAATGCGGTTGATATTATTTGATGTTGATTGATATCAAAACCCGTTCGTGTGATAAATCTCTTATCATCAATGTCTTCACATTGACAATGAATAAATATAAGGATATAGAGGTTATCACGCGAGTGTGTTTGGGGATGGTAAATATCCTGCATTAGGAATAAACATTGTATTTAGCGAGCCTTGGCGAGCTAAATACATAGTGTTTATTCCTAATACAGGATATTAACCATCCCCAAACACACAAGCGTGATAACCTCTTTATCATATAATGTCATTCTTTAATTCTGTGCTTCAAAATCGCTTTCCCTCTCTCACATACATAACCGAAACATTGCGAGTTTTTTTCTGGAATGCGCGCATTAATATTTATAAAGTCACAGGGTAAGTGATGTGTCAGTCGGACAGTGACAGTAGCCAATATAGTTCCAACTGAAATCTGTTTCTTATACAGTGGCGAAGCAACAAATACGCAAAACAACAATTGTTTTTAATTGCCTTTCGCGGCAATCCATCTGTCTGTCCGCTAGAGTAACTGCCCTTTGTCAAAGGTAAGCTACTCTAACCCTAGTCTATGAGACGTCACGGCCACGGTCAGTCGTTGTTGACAGTCGGTCTGTCCTGTCATAACGTTACGAAGTGTAGTCAGATGTACACACAGCGACAAAACGAAACAAGGTAACAATTCAAACACATTTCGGACAAATCCAACTATTTTAATTTGTTGAGAAGGTTTCAAGCCGCAGAGGTCTACAAGCACAGATATGGCTACTGATCTCGCAAAATTGTTTCGAAATGTATATCTCTAAAGTTGCCCAAACTCATAAAATGCCTTAGCTACGTCACAGTTAGAGACTGATTTTCAGTATATTAGACTGTTCTTTTGATAATGATAGCAATTATCCCTGTAGTTTATCCAGATTCCCGATGGTTAATTCTGACTCGATCGCCGAATGATGAGGGCGACGCCATGTTTGTTTATAAACAGTGAAAGTAGTCCTACTTGACCTTCGATATTTGCATCTCTATCCGCATATGACCCCAACGGATATCGTTTTTATCCGTTGGCTTTATCCTGCCGAGAAACCTACCCATTATATGATAAAGTTTAATACTTGTTCCCATAAAGCATCAACATAACGTGGGGAAACATTATACTCTACATTTGTAATGCCCACTCTACAGATTCGATGAAATCCCATGGCCGAAGCGATCAGCTTATAGAGTTGGACGGGAGTGGTTCCCACTGTCAGAACAGCCGGTGCCTCCACGACGTCATGATCATTCACCACCCTTGGAATCCCACCAACTTCGACGTGAGCCGCGACTACAGCCTGTACGCACTTGGAGACAGGGAGGTCCAGCTAGGATACATTTCTGACACAGTGTCCCTTCTATCTGGTATGAGAGACTGAACTACTCCAAATATAAAGAATAAACCATGTTGACGACATATGACTCGTTATTTATATGTACATATAACAATAATATTCAACATTTGAAAGGGATATTCTGACCGTCCGGGCGTTTCAGCACATTTCACAAGGACGCCTTTTGTAGGTGGTTGTAAATAACGCCGAAACAAGAAACAAAAGAATAAATGTACACACGGTACGACTGTCAGCTGAAATGACCTTGATCATTCAGCTCCCAACTTAAATACTATCGTGAAAGTATTAACAAACGTGTGGCCAACGAGTCGTGTGAAAAGTCTGATTAGTCAAGTTACAATACGATCTTTAGGAAACCATTTTTGTTATGCGGTCGGGTAGCCTAGTGGTCAAGGCGTTCGCTCGTCGCGCCGGAGACCCGGGTTTGTTTCCCGACATGGGTACAATATGTGAAACCCATTTCTGATGTACCCCGCCGTGATATTGCTGGAATATTGCTAAAAGGCGGCGTAAAACCATACTCACTCACTCACTCTTTACTGTACGTAACCACGATTATAGTGACAGACTGTCAAATTTAATTTGGGTAACAGAGAACCGAAGAACCGAAAGTTAACACACAAGTTACATGAAGAAGAATGTGAAATTTACCAATGCTATTACCACAGACAATGAAACACCTTTAAAACTCTCTCTCCTTCCTTCTCTCTCTCGCACTTCATGTACAAATTAAATTTCAAATATTTCATAAATACAATGATAAAACATGACAGTAATTAATGTAAGTAAAATTTACAAAAACGAAAGGTAACCGATGAGAGAAAATCACTAAGACACCAGGATTTTAACAGCGCAATGCAGGACAATAAACGCTACATAACTCTGTATTTTCAGCAACCCCCACTCTATGTTAAACAATGCAGACATGCAAAAGTAAGCGCAAAGATCACCCTGTGAACCCAGGAGTTATTACAATAATTTCCCCGCTGTTAGCTACATATCAGCGTCCAGTGAATCATCAAATCTAGTCGCAGAACACCATCCGTTGGTAGGCGCAGTGATCAACACCGTCGTGTTATGATTACATACACGGTCACACATTGTCACAATCTGTCTCTATGGCAGTTAAATCTGAACACACCATTCAACCTATGTAAAGTGAATCTTAAGATCTTATTGTACAAAACAATCTTCTTGCTCGCGTACTCTGCCACTATACTAGTACTTGACACTATGCAGCGCTCGTAGTACACATTATCAATCTTGAATGCTCGTCACAGTGGTCAAAATGGAAGGTCGTCTTCTTGTCTCCATCTTACTGCCATCATTTATAGTACAAAGTTTGTATTGACTGCAATTCGTGTAACACTGTAATATTTTCTCTAAAAAAGGAAGCTTATTTTCATATGAACCGAGCGTTCTACATATTTAAGTTTATTTTTATTAGTTATGCTGCTTCAAGCAACAACGTAGAAAATGGCATATGAATGTCTTGTTTCTTTGTTTATTGCTGTTGCAAGCTGCTATAATGTGTCATGCTAATTCTGATAATAAAACAGTCCCTTCTTCTCTTCTGGCGTTTCAGGTAGAGCTTTCGTGGGTGCAGGAGCCATGTTAAAATGTATTATACCAACATATAGTTTGGCCTCTTCTAAATGACCAAACATTCATAATATCTTCATTCTTGGAAAGCCGCTCTGCTGGGCACATGTCTTCTACATCTCTATTTTATACAGAACTATGCATTATGCTCACAACAGATATATGTTAGATTTGTGCCCAGTAGAACGGTTTTCCAGAATAGAGATATTACATTATGCCTACAGCTTATCTGTAGTTCACCTAAATATTATAGTCATGCTATATACCCTGTGTATCTCTATATTTGTTTATCATTAGTGTACATAATTAACGTACATCGCTCATGGATTGTTCTTTCAGAGTCATTCACAGCGTGTCCAATTGAGTTTCACATATTCCGAAATGGAACAAGCTGCTATTTCTTTAACAAAGCAAACTCAACTTGGGGAGCTGCTCTGGTCGACTGTCAAGTGCGAAAAGCTGATCTCATTAGCATCCATAGCCCGTCGGAAAATGATTTCATATCAAGTAATGAATTAGATTACAAACTTTAAGTATAGAAAGTGTATGATGCCAGACGTTTGTGCGCATAATACACACATAGTCTTGATACCAACCTTCCGGTTGCTCTAGCACATCTATATAACTATCCATTATATCATACTACATGCGACCGCCTCCGTGGTCAAGCGGTAGAGCGTCCGCCCTGAGAGCAGAAGGTCCGGGGTTCGATCTCCGGGCGCGTCATACCGAAAGACGTTAAATGAGGGTACTTGTTGTTACCCAGCATGGCTAAAACAAGGACTGGTCGGCTCGGAGTCAGTATACTGTGCCTGATCATGAGTGAGGTATCCATGTTAACCTGCGGCATGGTATCTCAGTGGGGTAACACTATAAAATCGGCATTAGTCCGGACTAGTTAAAGCAGCCACACACTCATGCATGCACGTCTCTTTAAGAGCACTAATCTTGGGCGAGACGTTCAATCCCATTTCATCGCACTTCATGATACAGGCGTATTCTGTTGGAAACTGTCAGCCATATTCATAGGTTGTGTGCAAGCTGTGTTTAAGAAACACAGCTAAGCTTTTCCTTTCAGCAATTACAACGAGCCTTTCACTTGCATATGCTGCGCATGAAGGCCCATAATTATGTTTTCAAATTAAATATTGCTAGACACTTGCTTATTTTACAACGGACTCTGATTTAAGCAGATATATGTTATGATAATGGAAGGTTTATGTCGCTTTTATTCGCATGATTTATTCATGATTTGGGATAGAACAAGATTGAGGAAACATCCTAGCGGCTTACTTGAAAGACGCATTTGTGAATGAAACGATTCTGATCCAAATTAAAGGGACGAATGTCATAGAAGGTTTCTTGAACACACATGGCGTGGTCTTCATTGTTTACAAGCAACAATAATGTATGAATTATTGTGATCTGCAAACTGGTACGGAGTCGTCATATGTCTGTTATGTTCATGTTGTTTCAGGTAACATCAGCAAAGACGTTCTGTGGATTGGTATAAACGACAGAAGTCAATTGAGTGGGGTTTTGTTTTGGTCAGATGGAACCCCATTTGACTACTCAAGTTTGGGAACAGGTATTACAATTTGGAAACGAGAATAATCTAGAAATGTATAGTGTTTTTTAAAATATCTAAATCGTTTCAGTGTATCTAATAATGTGATAAAACATAATACAAACCAAAATTCATAACCTTCACGCCAGAGAATAATCAGTCTCGATTATCTACCAAAACAGGTCCCATTGGGCGTAAAGGCAAAATATTGACGAAAATTATATGAATGGAACACGATGGCACAATATTTCAAATAACAATGCATCCTGGTAGCTAAAGCCTCCTTTACCTATTATTTGTTTGTTGGTTTGTTGATTAACGCCACACTCAGCAATATTCCAGCTGTATGACGGCGGTCTGTAAATAATCGAGTCTGGACCAGACAATCCAGTGATTGGCATCATGAACACCGATCCACGCAATTGGGATCGATGACATTCATCGACCAAGTCAGTGAGCCTGACCACTTGATGCCGTTTTTCACCTCTTACGACAACCATAGTCGCCTTTTACGGCAAGTATGGGTTGCTGAAGACCTATTCTAACCCGGATCATCACGGATGTTATAAAGTGGTGTGTCAAACCTGGAGATGTAACATCAGAGACCAACTAATTAAATAAAGTGGTGCATCACAACTGCAGCTGAAAAAACTACAGACCAAATCATTATATGAAGTGCCGTGTTACAACCGGAGCTGTAACATCAGAGACCAACTAATTAAATAAATTGGTGCATCACAACTGCAGCTGAATAAACTACAGACCAAATCATTATATGAAGTGCCGTGTTACAACCGGAGCTGTAACATCAGAGACCAACTAATTAAATAAAGTGGTGCATCACAACTGCAGCTGAATAAACTACAGACCAAATCATTATATGAAGTGCCGTGTTACAGCCGGAGCTGTAACATCAGAGACCAACTAATTAAATAAAGTGGTGCATCACAACTGCAGCTGAAAAAACTACAGACCAAATCATTATATGAAGTGCCGTGTTACAACCGGAGCTGAAACATAAGAGACCAACTCATTATACCAGTAAGTGGCGCTTCTCAAATTGATCTGAAAAATTGAAAGACCAACTCATTAAAAAACATTAAAAGACTAAATCATCGTTACTGGAGGTGGTACATTTCAGTACAGACTGTAGTCTTTTGTTTTCGAAATGATCCTTTGATAGTGTTACGCAAATGGTTATAAACCTCTACAATGTTACTTGCTGGAACGGGCACACACCACAGAGGTCAATAACTCCAAATCGTTGCATTGACTATTGTGCTAAATTAATGGTCAAACGGAGACAACGTATCTCTTCATTTTAACCTGAAGCTTAGAGTTTTTTAATCTCTGTCAGTATATGTGCTCTAGAGATCAGACTTCCAGACGACCTCAGCTGACACTGCAACTGCCTTTCTACGGTAACTGGGGTATCATTGGGTGTGGACAGCACCCGCAACTCATTCTTACGCTTCACCATGAATGCGGAAGGTTATACTTTCCCTACTACTCGGAACATTCGGACCAGCAAAATACACCCCTATATCTACTGACCACATTCTTCACAGAGAAAGTCCAGCATAGCATGGCTTTCTCAGAATGGAGCCCACATGACCACGGACAGTTGCAATGTGTAACCCATGTCCAGGCACCTTGGTCGTCCAGGCAAAACGGACATGCTTACATTCAGTCAAAGTCACCGTGACTACAGAAACTATATGGAGTTAAAGAAGCACTGAAATTACACCATATTATTGAAAAAAAGATTCTGCCTGGAAACATAATCTGCTTCGTCAAAGCGATGCGTCTCAACTGGACATTAATCATAAAAAACAGCTCATACTAGTAGGAAGAGGCGCGTCTCAACTGGATCTGAAAGATTTGAG